AAAAAGCGAAATACCTAGGGATAAATTTAATTAAGAGTGTGAAAGATCTCTATAATAACAATGATAAAGCATTGAAAAAATTGATGACTCCAACTAATGAAAAGATATACATGGGGTTTTATAAGTATACAATCATGTCACCTGCAAAAAGAGACAATTTGACTTCCTCTTTTCCTGATTGAACACCTTTTAAAAAAATTTTACTTTATTGCCCTGGCCAGAAATTCCAATACTATGTTAAAAAGGAGAGATGAGAGAGGGCATCCTTGTCTTGTGCTGGTTTTCAAAGGGAATGCTTCCAGTTTTTGTCCATTCAGTGTAATATTGGCTGTGGGTCTGTCATAAATAACTCTTTATTGAGATATATTCCATGAATACCTACTTTGTTGAGAGTTTTTTAACATGAAGTGCTGTTGAATTTTATTGAAGGCCTTTTCTACATCTATTGAGATAGTCATGTGGTTTTTGTCATTCATTCTGTTTATGTGATGGATTGCATTGATTGATTTGCATATGTTGAACCAGGCTTGCATCCCAGGGATGAAGCCAACTTGATCATGATGGATAAACTTTTTTATATGCTGCTGGATTGGGTTTGCCAATATTTTATTGAGGATTTTCACATCAATGTTCTTCAGGGACTTTGGCCTGTAATTTTCTTTTTTTCTTGTGTTTCTGCCAGGTTTTAACAGGATGTTGCTGGCCTCATAATATGAGTTAGGGAAGATTCCCTTTTTCTACTGGTTAGAATAGTTTCAGAAGGAATGGTACCAGCTCCTACTTGTACCTCTGGTAGAATTTGGCTGTGAATCCATCTGGACTTAAACTTTTTTTGGTTGGTAGGCTGCTTATTACTACCTTAATTTCAGCACTTGTTATTGGTCTATTCGAGATTCAACTTCTTCCTGGTTTGGTCTTGGGAAGATGTATGTGTCCAGGAATTTATCCATTTCTTCTAGATTTTCTAGTTTATTTGCATAGAGGTGTTTATAGTATTCTCTGATGGTAGTTTGTATTTCTGTGTAATCGTCGGTCATATCCCCTTTATGATTTTTTTTATTGCAACTATTTGATTCTTCTGTCTTTTCATTAGTCTGGCTAGTGGTCTATTTTGTAGATCTTTTCCAAAAACCAGCTCCTGGATTAATTTTCTCCTTCAGTTTTGCTCTGATCTTAGTTATTTCTTGTTGTCTTCTAGCTTTTGAATTTGTTCACTCTTACTTCTTTAGTTTTTTAAATTGTGATATTAGGGTGTCAATTTAGATCTTTCCTGCTTTCTCTTGTGAGAATTTAGTGCTATAAATTTCCCTCTACCCACTGCTTTGTGAACCAGAAATTCTGGTACATTGTGTTTTTGTTCTCATTGTTTTCAAGAAACATCTTTATTTCTGTCTTAATTTTGTTACTTACCCAGTAGTCATTCAGAAGCAGGTTGTTCAGTTTCCATGTAGTTGTGTGGTTTTAAATGAGTTTCTTAATCCTGAGTTCTAATTTGATTACACTGTGGTCTGAGAGACTGTTATAATTTCCTTTCTTTTTTTTTTTTTTTTTTTTTTGCATTTGCTTAGGAGTGTTTTACTTCCAATTATGTGATCAGTTTTAGAATAAGTGCAATGTGGTGCTGAGAATAATGTATATTCTGTTGATTTGGGATGGAGGGTTCTATAGATGTCTATTAGATCTGCTTGGTACAGGGCTGAGTTCAAATCTTAGATATCCTTGTTAATTTTCTGTCTCATTGATCTAATATTGACAATGGGGTGTTATAGTCTCTCACTATTATTGTGTGGGAGTCTAAGTCTCTTGATAGTTCTCTAAGAACTTGTTTTGTAAATCCGCGTCCTCCTGTTTTGGGTGCATATATAGTTAGGACAGTTAGTTCTTCTTGTTGAATTGATCCCTTTACCATTATGTAATGCCCACTTTTGTCTCTTTTGATCTTTGGTGGTTTAAAGTGTGTTTTATCAGAGACTAGAATTGCAATCCCTGTTTGGTTTTGTTTTGTTTTTGCTTTCCATTTGCTTGGTAAGTCTTCCTCTTTCCCTTTATTTTGAACCTATGTGTGTCTTCATACGTGAGATGGGTCTCCTAAATACAGCACATCAATGGGTGTTGGTTCTTTATCCAATTTGCCAGTCTGTGTATTTCAATTGGGGCATTTATCCCATTTACATTTAAGGTTAATATTGTTATGTGTGAATTGGATCCTGTCATAATTATGCCAGCTGGTTTCTCATAGCATCAGTGGTCTTTACAATTTGGTATGATTTTGCAGTGGCTGGAACCAGTTGTTTCTTTCTATGTTTAGTGCTTTTTTCAGGAGTTCTTGTAAGGCAGGCCTGGTTGTGACAAAACCTCTTGGTATTTGCTTGCCTGTAAAGGATTTTCTTTCTTTTTCACCTATGAAGTTTGGTTTGGCTGGGTATGAAATTCTGAGTTGAAAAATCTTTTATTTAAGAATGTTGAATATTGGACTCCACTCTCTTCTGGCTGTTAGTGTTTCTGCCAAAAGATCCACTGTTAATCTGATGGGCTTCCCTTTGTGGGTAACCCACCCTTCTTCTCTAGCTGCCCTTAATATTTTTTTCCTTCATTTCAACCTTGGTAAATCTAACGATTCTGTGTCTTGCAGTTGCTCTTCTTGAAGAGTATCTGTGTTGTTTTCTGTGTTTCCTGGATTTTAATGTTGCCTCTCTTGCTAGGTTGAAAAATTTCTCCTGAATAACATCTAAGAGTGTTTCCCAACTTGATTCTATTCTCTCCATCACTTTCAGGTACACCAATCAAAGGTAGATGTGGTCTTTTCACATAACATATTTTTTGCAGGCTTTGTTTCTTTTCACTCTTATTTGTCTTCTCATTTTATTTCGAGTTGATTTTCAATCTCTGATATCCTTTCTTCTGGTTGGTTGATTTGGCTATTGATATTTGTGTATGTTTCATGAAGCTCTTGTGCTGTGTTTTTCATCTCCTTCAGGTCATTTATGCTCCTCTCCAAACTGGCTATTCTAGTTAGCAATTTGTATAACATTTTTAAAAGTTTCTTAGCTTCCTTTCCTTGGGTTAGAAGCTGCTCCCTTAGCTCAGAGGAATTTGTTATTACCCACCTTCTGAAGCCTTCTTCTGCATTATTTTTATTATTTTAGAGATGTCTCACTGTGTTGCCCAGGCTGAAATGCAGTGCCTCAATTTCAGCTCACTACAACCTGAGCCTGCCCAGGCTCCAGCAATTCTCCTGCCTCAACCTCCCAAGTAGCTGAGACTATAGGTGCATGCCACCACCCCCAGCTAATTTTTGTATTTTTAGTAGAGACAGGATTTCATCATGTTGGCCAAGTTAGTTTTGAAGTAATGACCTCAGCTGATCCTCCTGCCTTGACCTCTCAAAATGCTAGGATTACAGGTGTGAGCCTTTGCACCCAGCCAAGTAATGTATTTTTTAAAAATATACAACATTGTATTCATTACTTCTACCCATTCTGCTTCACCACCAGCAACGCAATTCTATTCAGTTACATATTTGTACTCTGAAGACTTAAGGCATTTTTGCTCCAGATTGTGTTTTAGTGGCATCTCTGAAATAATTCTGTAAAGTCTCCATTTGTTATGCCCACTTAATACTTTGTTCAATTAGCTTAATGCTCTGTTAACAATTGAACAGTAATTTCCTTAGACATCTGGAATGAATAAAGTTTTCAGTCTTTGCAAGAGGCTCTGTGTGCATGTTGGAGAATGCCTGTCACACCTACCTCGGCACTTTATAAATCTGCTAAGCTAACTAAAAACCTTAAAAGAAAAGAAGAATCTGAAAAATAAGATGCTCACAGAAAGCTTTGATGAGAAGTGACACATTTCTGAAACATAAAAGGCTACACAAGCTTAGGAAAGATCTGAGAAGGCCCTAAGCCCTCACCTCTAAGTACCTTTGAGACTCTATGAGAGCAGGACATTACCTTTCTCTAGCCAAAAATGTCTGCAGATAAGAAAATATTTATGGAGTAGATTATTTAAAACAAAACTATGGCCTTATTATGAATTTTCAACTATAGGTGTATTCTAATCCTTGTCTGCAAACCTCCATTATGGCCTTTAGGCTTCAACTGAAGTAAAAGTGCTTACTTGGTCTTTTTTACCTGAAAAGCTCTGAACTCCATTTAATTTCCTCTAACTCTGGAAATTTGCCAAAAATTCTTTCCCAATTCTAAAGTTTCTAAAAGAAATTTTTTATTCAACATTTCGGCCTCTCAGCTCCTGTTTTCAAATCAGCAATTATTTCAAGATAAATTGCATAAAATATCAGCCTTCCCAATATGAATTTTCTAAACTCTCTGTTATCCTATCTCTACAAACTTTTACAATTTTACTATTTTCCATAAAAATACATACTTGGACATCTATGTGAGAGAGAGATGGGTAACTGAGAGGGAACAACACAGAGAGAAACAGATATAAGCAAAGACATTCAGTACATGTTATTTCTTAAAAATTCCTGGTCATTACACTGAAACATTATTTGTAGATGACAGGATTTTCTACTTGAAAAATCCATGAAAGATAACCCAAAATTAATAAAATTACCAAAGAATTTAATCTTCAGTATTTACAAGGATTTGGGGAAATAGTCTTTCTATTATATTCATGGTAGAAAAGTAAACACATATTAAGTTTTAGTAAACTATATTCCAGTATTTATGAAAAGTAAAAGATTCTATACATTATGGTACAGCCATTCATATCTATAAAACTACCTTGAATAAATAGTATAAGAACAGTATAAAATGTATGCATCTAGTAGCATTTGTGCTAAACAACAGTTCAAAAATAACCTAAACATCCCTGAAGATGGAAATAATTCTTAAACTATGGAATAACCATCTAATAGGATATTGTGAGCTATGTTTATTTATATTGCTTCTTAAAATATGTATGTTATTAAATGTCACCTCCAAATAACAGCTATATTCTACATACACACATAAAAACACACACATGTATTTCTGTTTGTGTATGTTCAAATACATATTCCCCTCTTCTTTGCCTTAATATGTCTGTACATCTGTGTGTGTCCATATATGTGTGTATTTAACCACTAGGGGAAAAAAGAAAAGACATCCTGGGACAGACTGGCTAATTCAAGTTTATCTCACATTATTCCCTTTGGCTGGAATGAGCTTCCTTTCTCTTTTCCCTACATGAATACACATACACATACATGCAAAAATAAACACATACACAGCATATATATCCAACACATACACATATGCACATGTAATTATATTTTAATAAACACTGGGGAAAAAAAAGTATATAAGTTAATCTGTCAAGACATCATTCCCATAGACAGATAGGAGTGAGAGATTAATAAAATTCATGTTTTAATACTTTTAACTTTTTTAAAAATCTCATAGGATAATTTCTGATTTTTCATTTGTGTTAGCAAAGCCAAATATGGCATTTATAGAGTGCTTTCCATTTTATATGCACTACAGATATAATGTAGCTTATCATCTTAGGATTCTGTTACAAGTAGAATTTTATTGGAGATACAAAAATAAATTTTCTTTCATACAGGGAAAATTGGAATGGATTTTGAAGGATGGGTAAAATTAAAAGAGATAGGGCTCAGAGATGGCCTTCCTGCTTTTAAGGAAGGAGTAGATGATGGTTGACACACAGGACAGTAAATAGCTGGATTTTTTCACATGAGACTGAAGGGTCTTGCTCTAGCAGCCTGACATTTCATCAGACTGGAATGAAACAAAGCTCATAGAAGGGTGGTACAGAGCCAAGCCCTCTGTGAACTGGGGTGGTATCAATATCCTTTGGATCAACCAGAGGTTTCAAGGTAAAATTCTGCAAAATGGTGGTCAGGATTAAAAACAGCTCCATGCGGGCCAGGCCTTCTCCAGCACAAGCTCTTTTTCCTAAAAGTAACACGCAAGTTCATTACTCATTTAATTCTGGAGCTGAGTTAGCACACAGAAAGATTTAAATTAATATGGAATGAAGAAATATATTAATGAATGACTAATGAACCTGTAGCTTTTACTACTTACACCCAATCCTGGTTTCATTTTTTTAGCAGCTATTTCTGGGTGGGTACTAAATGAAAAATCTTTATTGTACATGCATATTGAAACTGCTATGCTACAGCTTGCCAGTGACACCTTTACACACTCACACACACATCTATCCCAACTAGCATGACATACAACACTGTATCTACTTCTCCATATACTTCTGACCCTGGACTTGACAAATAAATAGATTTATTCATTCTCATCTGGATTCTAAAGGATAATCAATCCTGCCACATACCTGCTTTTAAAAAAATGGTTGAGAGCTTATTATTGCCAGCTATAAAAAGAAATGTCACCAACTGGCCACAGGCGATTCTTAGGGAGTCATCTCTTTGACTCCCTCACCTCAGCCATTACTAATCATTCACCACTCCGTAAACAGGCAATTTCAAGAATCCTCCATGCAGAGCCCTTCCTTATCTCACTTGACTCCTGGTGTACACACAAAAAGAAAAAAGAAAGCTTGCTTGCCTGCAGAAAAAGCCATGAAATAATCACTTTTTTTAAAGTTGCCACTTTCATCCAGGAAGTGGCCAGGGTCAAACTTCTCCGGATTGGGAAATTCCTTGTCATCGTACAGGACAGAAGACAGATGTGTTAATATTGTTGTGCCCTGAATGAGAGAGAAAAAGATAAACCAGATCAAAATACAGTGTTCATGGGATGCAAAAGCCATAGATAAGAAAGGCCGACATTTTATATGTGTGGATTCTGCAGGGATGACTATGGGACTTGAGTTTATGTGGTTTTTACTATCTACAAAGAATCCTGCAACCAATTCCCCATGAATTCCAAGGGAAGACTTTAAATTAAAACCCGTCAAAAGAGACAAAGAAGGTGACCAATATGATGACTAAGGGGAATTTCATCAAGTGGATATAAAAATCATAAATGTACATGCACTCAACAGCAAAGCACTTAAATATATGAAGCAAATATTAATAGACCTAAAGGGAGAGACAGACTCCAAAATAATAATAAAAAAACACCCTATTTTCAGCAAGACAGATCATTAAAAATCTACCAAAAAACAATGGTGTTAAACTGCTTCTCTGTCCTGACTTAGTAGGTATGCACAGTACATTCCACCCAACAGCTACAAAATATACACTATTCTAAGCAGTGCGTAAAACACTCTCCAATATAAATCATATGATAGCCACAAAACAAGTTTCAACAAATTTTTTTAAGTAAACTCAAATCAAGTATTTTTTTCCTGAAAACAGTGCAATAAAACTAGAAATCAAAAAGAACAGAAAGTATACAAATACCTAAAAATAAATCAACATGTTTATAAAGAACCAATGAGTTAATAAAAAAAATTAAGAGGAAATATTTTACAAATTCTTTTTTTTTATTGCATTTTAGGTTTTGGGGTACACGTGAAGAACATGCACGATTGTTGCATAGGTACACACATGGCAGTGTGGTTTGCTGCCTTCCTCCCCTTCACCTCTATCTGGCATTTCTCCCCATGCTATCTCTCCCCAACTCCTAACTCCCCACTGTCCCTCTCCTATTTCCCCCCCAACAGACCCCAATGTGTAGTGCTCCCCTCCCTGTGTCCATGTGTTCTCATTGTTCAACACCCGCCTATGAGTGAGAACATGCGGTGTTTGATTTTCTGCTCTTGTGTCAGTTTGCTGAGAATGATGGTTTCCAGGTTTATCCATGTCCCTACAAAGGACACGAATTCATCGTTTTTGATGGCTGCATAATATTCCATGGTGTATATGTGCCACATTTTCCCTGTCCTAAGAATGGAGTTTAAAACAACCCTTAAATCAAAAAGAGAACAATCTCAAAATAACAATCTGACACTAAAACATAAGAAACTAGAAAAACAAAAACAAACCAAATCCAAAATAAGTAGAAGAACAAAAATAGTAAATATTATAGCATCATCAATAAAATACACAATGAATATAGGAACTAGGTAAGATACAAAGAAGTCAATGAAAGAGAGAGTTTAGGGGTTTTTTTTGAAATGATAAGCAAAACTGACAAACCTTCAGCTAGACTATGAAGAAAGAGGCAAGATCAAAATAAGTAAAACGAAAGACAAAAGAGCCATTACAACTGGACCACAGAAATGCAAAATATCATTAGAGGCTATTATTAACAAATATATGCTTACAAATTAGATAATCTAGAATAAATTGATAAATTTCTGGACTCATATAATGTACCAAGATTGAATCATAAACAAATAAAAAACCTGAATAAGTTAATAATTGAGTAATGAAATTAAATTAGTAATAAAGATCTCCCACCACAGAAAAGCCAAAGACTATTTTTTTATATTCACTGCTGAATTCTACCAAATTTAAAAACACCAAGAAAAGTTTATTTCAAATCCTTGCAAAAAATTGAAATGGAGGAAATACTTCCAAACTCATTCTATGAGGCCATCGTTCCTCTGATATCAAAAACACAACAAAAAAAAGGAAAACTGCAGGCCAATGTCTCTGAAGAACATAGATGCAAAAAATCTTAACAAAATATAAGTAGGCTGGACACAATTGCTCATGCCTGTAATACCACCACTTTGGTAGGCAAAGGCAGGCAGATCACCTGAGGTCAGGAGTTCAAGACCAGCCTGACCAACATGGAGAAACTCCGTCTCTACTATAAATACAAAATTAGCCAGGTGCACTGGCACATGCCTGTAATCCCAGCTACTTGGAAGACTGAGACAGGAGAATTGCTTGATCACGGGAGGTGGAGATTGCTGTGAGCTGAGATTGCACAACTGCACAACAGCCTTGACAACAAGAGTGGAACTCCATCAAAAAAAATATATATGTATACAAGCAAGCTAAACTCAACAACAAATCAAAGAGATTCTTCATCATCATCAAGTGGGATTCAACCCAGGGATGCAAAGGTGGCTCAACATACACAAATCAATAAAAGAGATAGATAATATAAACAAAAGGAAAGACAAAAACCATGGGAACATCTCAATAAACACAGAAAAAGCATTTGATTTAATTCATCTTCCCTTGATAATAAAAACATTCAAAAACATGTATTGAAGGAATGTACTCCACCATAACAAAAGCTATGTTGAACGAATCCACGACCAGCATCTTACTGAACATGAAAAAACCGAAAAAACATTTTATCTAAGACTTGAAACAAGACAAAGATACTCATTTTTACCACGTGTATTCCACATAGTACCAGAAGTCCTAGTGTTCAGGTAAGAAAACAAAAGTTAAATATCTAAGAATAAATTTAATTGAGGAGGTGAAAAGTCTATACGATGAAAATTATAAAACACTGAAAAAAGATGGAAGATTCAAATAAATGGAGATATCCTTGTTCACTGATTGAATGAATATTCCTAAAATATTAATACTATCCAAAACAATCTAGATTCAATGCACTGCCTATAAAAATAAACATGACATTTTTCACAGACATAGAAAAAACAACCTTTATATTTGTGTGGAACTACAAAATACCCTGAGTAGACAAAGTAATCTTAAGCAACAGGAAAAAAGCTAGTAAGGGCATACTATCTAACTTCAAAATATATAACAAAGGCCAGGCATGGTGGCTCAGCCTGTAATCCCAGCACTTTGGGAGGCTGAGGCAGGCAGATTACTTGAAGTCAAGAGTTCAAGACCAGCCTGGCAAACACGGTGAAACACCATCTCTACTAAAAATACAAAAAATAGCCAGGCATGGTGGTAGGCGTCTGTAGTCCCAGCTACTCAGGAGGCTGAGACAGGAGAATCACTTGAACTTGGGAGGCAGAGGTTGCAGTGAGCTGAGGTCGCACCACTGCACTACAGTGTGACAGAGTAGAACTACATCTCAAAAAAAACAAAAACAAAATACACACACAAATACACACACACACACACATATATAACAACGTATGAAAACAATATGGCACTGACATAAAAAGAAAGGCACAGACCAAGAAAATAGATGAGAAAGTCCAGAAAGGAGAAGGGATCCAAGATGGCTGATTAGTAGCAGCTCTGGATTGCAGCTCCCAGCGAGAGCATGGAGGGTGAGTGGGTGCTGCATTTCCAGATGGATTTTTATTGCCCATAGACCAGGAGATTCCTGGGCAGAGGAGCCTCACGGGTCACCAGTGCAGTTGTTTTGGCTGGCGTGGTGGGTCTCCGCAGAAAATACATGGGTCCAGGCACTGTTTTAGCTGGCGATTGGAGCACCTGGGAGACAGTCACCCATTGAACTGATAAAAAGGGGACTGAAACAGGGAGCTAGGCCAGGAGATTCCCAGGCAAAAAAGTGCCACGAATCTCCAGTGCAGCTGTTTCAGCCAGCGCAGTGGGTCGCTGCATGAGAAATCACACAGATCATGGCACCTTTTCAACACGTGGCTGAAATACCTGGGAGACAGAATTACCCATTCAACTGAAATAAAAGGGACTGAAACAGCGAGCCAGGCCAGGAGATTCCAGGGCAAAAAATTGCCATGAGCCCCCAGTGCAGCTGTTTCAGCCAGTGCAGCAGGTCTCTGCACAAAATCTCACACAAATCTGGGTGCTTTTCCAACTAGTGACTGGAATTCCTGGAAGAGAGAGTCACCTGTTCAACTGAAAAAATGGGGACTGAAACAGGGAGCTAGGACAGGAGATTCAAAGGTGAAAAAGCACCCTGAGTCTCCAGCAGCTGTTTGAGCTGGTACAGTGGGCCTACGCACAAGAAATCACACAAATAAGGGCACCATTTCAACTGGTGACTGGGACACCTGGGAGACAGTCACCCATTCAACTGGAAAAAAAAAACAGGGGTCTGAGGCAGGGAGCCAGGTGATCAGGCTAGGACGGTCCCAACCCCACAAAAATCATCACTCTGAAATGCTCTGGATTGAGAGTTTCACAGCAAGCGCAACTGAACCCATGATGATCCAGCTCTGTGGTGGAGGGGCATCCACCACTACCAACACAGTCCACCACTACTGAGGTAGTCTGCCATTGCCAAGGCAGCCCACCATTGCTGAGGCTGTCCACCAATAAAGAGAGAGTCTGCAATTACAGAGGTGGGCTGCCATTGCCGAGGCAGTTCTAAATATACCCCTATTAACAGGACTGCAGGGAAGTTCACACAGCAGCTGGGTGGAGCCCACAGCAGCTCAGGAAAGCCTCTACAGGCAGAATGTGACTAGGCTGCCTCCTCACTGGGCAGAACAGCCCTGAAAAAAGGCAGCTGCACGACAGAAACTTATAAATAAAGACTTAGCTTCCTGTGACAGAGCACCTGGGGGGAAAAAGGCGTTTATGAGTTCTGCTGCAGCAGACTTAAACGTACCTGCTGAGCAGCTCTGAATGGAACAACAGAGCTCACAGCTCAGCACTTGAGCTCCTATAAAGGACAGACTGTCTCCTCAAACAGCTCCCCGATTCCACTATATCCAAAGAATCACCTCATAAAGAAGAGCTCAGACTGACATCTGATGGGTATCCTTCTGGGACAAAGATAGCAGAAGGAAAAACTGGTAGCAATCCTTACTGTTCTGCAGCCACTGCAGGTGAGCCCCAGGCAAGCTGGGCTTGGAGTGGACAGAAAGAAACAGAAAGAAATAACTTTGTCATCAACAAATTGGACATGCACTCAGAGCCCCATGTG